AATTTCAAGTTTGTTTGTTTGTTTTTTAAGGTGCCAAACTTAGTCATATTTTTCTTTTAATTTATACTGAACACCCATAATTCCAGTGGAAATCAATGGGAGCAGCAGATATTTAGTACCTCCAAATAGCTAAATAGCCCAAAAATTAGTATCTTCAAAATAAGTAGCAGCATTTGAAAGTTTTTCTCTAAGATATGAAAAAACAGCTGTTAGTGCAATGGCTAAACTGTGGTTCAGTAACACAATTTTAGCATAGGCAGTTCTCACACAGCTTTCTTTAGTCCTTATCAGAGAAAATAAAGCAGAGGGTAAGGGGGTGGAGGAGAACCCTCTAGAATAGTGATTGGCTATCTGCAGCCCATTGGGATTCTATGTGCAGCCCATGAGATTTTGTTTTCTGTTGCCCAAAACAGAATCTGGCAATCTTGCACATTTCTCATCCACATAGGTTTTATCCTCTGAGTATTAATAGAGTAACATGCACATAAAATAAGATGTATGCTATTGTACACATCAACTGTGAGAGCTCCCTCTGCAGCCAATCAAAACACCACTATAGTTCAATTAGAACACCCTGCAAATTCTAGGTGTGCAAGTGCAGTTAGCAAAACTGCCCTATCCCAGAAGACCATCTTGGTTACGAAAATCTTGTGACCCACTAAGATGAAAGACGGCCATTCATGTGGCCTACTCATTAGCCTATCACTAGCCCATCACTCATTAGCCCATGACTGCTCTAGAGACTTGAAATCATCGCAAATGAAATACAAATTATTCTGTGAAACTCAGCAGGGATGCATAAATTACAAATATCAGCAGTTCCAAGATTTAATTGAAGGTGGAAGAACATTTTATTAATTAGACACCTTTAACTGCACACAGAGTGAGATTCAGCACTGCAACTCTAAGTAGTACAGCCCAGGAGAAGCCTAAGGTGCCTGTAAGCCACACCTTCAGTCTCCCAAATCCTAAGGTGCTTCAGGGACCAAAGTGGATACTGGTGTAACTTATGACTGAACCAGAGGCCCTGCCCAGAATCTCCACAATACAATGTGCTGTTGCCCTGCCTATTACCCAGGTATATCCCAATTTCAGATTTCACAAAATATCTTCAGAAGAGATCCTGAGACTGTTACCCTTATTTCCTCCACTGAGGGAAATTTTCTCATCATTGGAGCCAGGTTATCAGACCCAAAGAAGGATTGTCCAGAGGTTAGTGAGACTAGACAGGGATTTGGAGTCCCTGGTTTAGGTTTTACTCCACAACAGACTTCCCATGTGACCCTGGGTAAATCATTTCTCTCTCTCTGGTCTCATCTCTAAAATGGGGATGATAGTATTTCTGTACTTGACAGGGATAGTAAGAGGATACATACATTAAACATTGTAAGGTGGTCAGATTCCATAGGAATGGGAGCAGCAGGTCTAACAGCCACTGTGAGCCAGGGTAAGATTGGGGAAAGAGATAGCTCCATGGCCCCAAACGGAAGAAGTGGCAGGGCTGAGCACAGTCAGCCTTTAGCACCACTCGGACCATGGCTCTGTCCCTCTCCTCCCCTCCCCGAGCCCTAAAAGCCATGGACTTAGACACTCCCGCAGCAGTTCTAAGGGGGCCGGGGCTCCAGCCACTACTTATGCCACAGTAGCAGCAATAGCAACCACAGCTCTGGGCCCTTTTCAATGGCCAGGACCCAGGCCAATTTCCCCCTTTTCCACTCTCCCCTCATTGGCAGGCCTATACTCCATTAATTTAACTAGTTCTTTTTTGAACCTTGTTAAAGTCCTGGTCTTCACAACATTCTCTGACAAGGCGTTCCATAGGCTGACTATGCACTGCATGAACAAGTGCTTTCTTTTGTTTGTTTTAAACCTGCTAAATATTAATTTCATTTTGTCACTCCTATTTCTTATGATATGGGAACAAGTAAATAACTTTTCCTTATTCACTTTCTCTACAACTGTCATGATTATAAACCTCTATCATATTCCTTTTTGGTCTTCTCTTTTCTAAGATGTGAAGTCCCGGTCTTTCTAATCTCTCTTCACATGGCAGCTGTTCCAAACACCTATTCATTTTGTTGCTCTTTTCTGAACTTTATCCAGTGCTAAGATACTTTTTTTGAGATGAGGCAACCACATCTGTACACAGTATTCAAGATGTGGAAGTAACATGGATTTATACAGAAGTAATAAGAGCACAAGTGCTTAATATAAAGTAAAGATCCTTTATGTTGCTCCAGCCCTTTTACTTGACACAAAGGAAGGGACGGGAATTAGAAAGTGTGTCAAACAATGAAACCCCTCAGCAGAATGGCTTCTATTATTTTAGAGCACCACATAAACAGAATAGAATAGCAAAGTAAGAGTCTCTGAAGGTGTATCTGTGAAGAAGAAATAGGTTTTTCTTCAGTAAATGAAACATTTACTACATCCAAAATAATATTTTGCCTCCCAAAAACGTTTTGCATTACAGAACTTAAACCTACTAGTGATAAAATGCAGACTGGCAATTTTAATTAGAAAAAATGCATATTGAAATAGAAATAACTATTTTTAGTTAAGCTGTTTTAGATCTTTTAACTAGCTTCTTTTTAAAATATCTTACAATGTTAGCATTCTACACTATTGCAGGGCAGTTGTATTTGAATGTAAAAATTGTAAGCTGATGAAGAATTATTCAACATTTATAAAAAAGAAGAACTACTTCAATTTCTTCAAGATTAAGTCTTACTTATTTCCATAGGACCAAAAAAATTCATATAACTCATACAGGAAAATATAAGAATCCAAAGAGATGTTACTACTCTAGCAAAGTTTCTTCATCACAGTCTAACTCACAGCTGGTCCTGCAGCTCTACTATTATGTATTCTAGCTGTTCCTTCTCCATTTTATGGGCTAGATCCATATCTTCAATCCTCTGTAGCAGTAGTTTGTTTTGTGAGACAGATTCAGCCAGTTGGGTTTCTCTAAGCCGTACAAGCTCTTCAAGATAACCCTGAAAATGCAGAAATAAAGAAAAAGCTTTAGAAAATAAGAAATGGTTACTCACTGTATGCAGTAGTTGTGGTTCAAGATGTGTACCCCTACAGGGGGCTCCATTCAAGCTGCGCTGGTGTCCTCTGGACCTTTGATCAGAGATTTCTCACTGCAGTAACCATTACACCCACACATCTATATTACTCAACTTTGTGCTCCGTGCCATTGTTATATAGCACTGCACAGATTAATCGACCTCAAGTCTTTCTGTATTGCAAAGCTCCACAGGAGAGAACTCTGAAACAGAGTGGAAGGGGGGCAGTTAGTGAGGCATCCAAAGGAAGACCAATCTCAAAAAACTAGTTACTGCATAAGATGAGTAACCTACACTGAGTAAGTCATTTTTTTATTTCAAGTAGTGTCCCTATGGGTAGTGAACTCTAGCAGACTAATAAGCAGTTTCCTCTAAGTAGAAGGAGTCTTTACAATCAAGTCCAATATGGAAAACAATACAGCTGAGCCAAACACAGTCTCAGAGGTAGATTCATGAGTTACTGCATAATACTCAGCAAACATACATATTGGCTACGTCTACACTGGCCCCAAATTCTGGAAAAGTCATGCAAAGCAGGTAAGTCAGAATAGGGAAATCCGCGGGGGATTTAAATATCCCCCTCGGATTTAAATAAACATGTCCGCCGCTTTCTTTCCGGCTTGGGGAAAAGCCGGAAAAAAGCGTCTAGACTGGCGCAATCCTCCGGAATAAAGCCCTTTTCCAGAAGATCTCTTATTCCTACTTTCAAGTATGGAATAAGTGATCCTCCGGAAAAGGGCTTTATTCCGGAGGATCGCGCCAGTCTAGACCCTTTTCCCCAAGCCGGAAAAAAAGCGGCGGACATGTTTATTTAAATCCGTGGGGGATATTTAAATCCCCCGCGGATTTCCCTATTCTGACTTACCTGCTTTGCATGACTTTTCCAGAATTTGGGGCCAGTGTAGACGTAGCCAATATGTATGTTTGCTGAGTATTATGCAGTAACTCATGAATCTACCTCTGAGACTGTGTTTGGCTCAGCTGTATTGTTTTCCATATTGGACTTGATTGTAAAGACTCCTTCTACTTAGAGGAAACTGCTTATTAGTCTGCTAGAGTTCACTACCCATAGGGACACTACTTGAAATAAAAAAATGACTTACTCAGTGTAGGTTACTCATCTTATGCAGTAACTAGTTTTTTGAGATTGGTCTTCCTTTGGATGCCTCACTAACTGCCCCCCTTCCACTCTGTTTCAGAGTTCTCTCCTGTGGAGCTTTGCAATACAGAAAGACTTGAGGTCGATTAATCTGTGCAGTGCTATATAACAATGGCACGGAGCACAAAGTTGAGTAATATAGATGTGTGGGTGTAATGGTTACTGCAGTGAGAAATCTCTGATCAAAGGTCCCGTGAAAGGCTGTAGAAGTGGAACTAGGCCAAGTATGTGTCTGTGTGTTTAAGGGTGCTTGGATATTACAAAATGGCATTAGTTCTTGCTATCAGTCATGTAGCCAATTGGAAAGTCTTTATTTAACGACCACAGACCCTTCTGATCTATCTGCAAGCAAGACCAATAATTTGGGAGTCTTTCAAAAAGTCTCCTATCAAGATAAAAGGCCACGGCTCTTGATGTTATACACATCAAATATATAGCAGCATTTCTTCTTTGCTTAGATGAAATTTAGAGTGTAGGACCAGAAGGATGAATGGGTTGGTTAATATGGAACACCAAAGACATATTTGATAAAAGCTTGGGATGTGGTTGTAATGTAACCTTGTACTTGAACAACACTGTCACAGGTAGGTACACCATAAAGACCAATATTTCCCCAAACTAGTCAAGTCAACATGATGCTTACCAAAAGGGATGGTACTTGGTCCTACCATGTGGGCAGGGGGACTGGACTCGATGACCTCTCAAAGTCCCTTTCAGTTCTATGAGATAAATAATATATGGAGATATACCTATTTTTTTTATTATAAAAATATGGCTTTTCATTTTTTCTATTTTCTTTTTTTTTTTAATGGAGGTGTGAGCAGGAAGCCATCAGTGCAAATAGTGATCTTGTAAGGCATTTAAGAACAAGACTGAGGTCCCAAACATAAGTAGGATGCATGACTGATAGAAAGATTTTGGAGCCTCCTGAGGAAGCTTATTATCATTCGGTGTATAAATACGGACTAACTTACTGGAGAATGGAAAGACAGGATGGCTGCTAGGTGGATTCTAATGGGGTTCACCAAGAACCTCACATTTTTAGTCTTAAGGCGCAGTTCAGTATATCTGGCACTGATGCAGTTGTTGGTGACGTGTTTGAGGTCCCACCAACAGGCAAATCTTGTCCATTTTTGCAAGTATAGTATTTAGACCATTTTCTGCTGCATAATAGCACTCCTTTTACTTCTTCTGAGCATGTTGTTTCTAAGTCCATGAATCACTGAGCAGCCATATTTGAGACAAAGAGATCTGAGATTGGACTGAAGGACCTTCCCACCTCCCTAGGAGAGGAGAGGCCTGAAAAGTGTTCAGTGAGTAAATGGTCAAATTTATCAAGTACGGAAACTATTTGTCTGGGCCAGGTCAGAATTGTTAGAATAATTCAGCCCTTTTTTATTTGAGTAGAACTTTGAATATTGGAGTGGGGGAGGGGAGGATGGAAGGGAGGAGAGAATGCAACAGAGACAACAACCAAGAAGGCAGAAAGCATCGCCCAAAGAATCGCGATCACCTTTGAAGCAAAACCAGACATTTTTCCGGTTTGTTGCCATGGTGAACAGATCTATTTGAGAGGTACACCATTTCTAGAATGCAGTGAAGTATGATGAGATCTATTTTGCATTCATAATCTTGAAAGAAGTGCCTGCTAAATAGCTCCATGGTGACAGTCTGAACTCCTAGAAGGCAAACTGCTATGATTATGATTTGATTGCATTGCATATTCATAGATGCCAAAACTTGGCAGTCTCCATGCCAAGAGAGCGGGATCTTGATTTGCCCTGTCAGTTAATTTAGAACATGCTTAACATATCCCTCGTGACCTTTATGTGTTTGCTTCCATTAGTGACAGAAGCTGGATATAGGCATACGTAACATCCTTCAGTTCTAAGGGGTTCATCTGCAGAGTGGTTTCTTGCAGTGTCCTATGGCCTGGGCCATGTGAATGTTTAGATGTGCTTCTCAACCCAGCAAGGATGCATCCATTGGCAGGCAAAAGTTACTCCTGCCCAAATATAAAAGTCTTTCTGCTAACTAAGAGATTCCTTGGTTGGGGGGGGGGGGGGATTCTTGGAGGGATTATACTCCGCACATTTCTCCTGTCTAGCAGTTGGGTAAATAAACAGTCAGATTCAGCCTTGAAAGCACTGCATTCAGAGTCTTGAATTGTCTACAAATAAAGTACCATCTGATGTGTCTCCCAACAGTTGAAGATAGTTCTTGGCCAGGGTTTGATGGCTAATTTGGATTGTGTTGACTGTGTTGGATAGGATCATGAAACTGAGCATTGGGAGGCAGGCTCTTGCCTCTGCAGGTAGAACTTTTCTAGTCTGGCACCCAATATTGTCTTGCAGCATTACCAACCCTTCCACTGTTTACTGGACTCTTAGAAGACATTTATGAGTAAATTAGAGCTAAACAACAGTAAGGACACTGAGAGCCAGGACTGGTGGCTGTAAACTAACTTTATGGGACTGTGGATAAGTGGAAATCCAGCTAACTAAAATCATGCTGGACCACAGATGTTGCCAGACCAGAGTACTAGACTACAGAGGTTCAACCTGCACTGAATTGAGATAAACTTAATTCTAACTTTTTAGAATTCAAGGTGGATTTTGCACAGTTCAATCGTAACCCCAATTTCAGGAAGATGTCTGTTGCCTCACAAGTTGCCTGTAAAGTTACATCCAGGGAGCCACCTTTCAGAAGCCAATTGTCTATGTAAAGGAACACTAGAATTCCTTTTCTGTGGAAATATGCCACTATTATCAACTTCATAAAGGTCCTTAAGATAGACAGTCCAAAATAAATCAGCCAGTACTGAAAAGGATCTGCATTGACAGTAAGACATAGGAATCATTTCTGAGATGCCTGGATTTCTATATGGAAATGTGTTCTGAAGGGTGAGGGCTAAGAACCAATCCCCTTCATTCAGTGACAGAATTATTGCTGCAAGTGTCACCATTTTGAATTTTTGTGCCTTCAACAAGGTGCTGAGTAGCCTTAAAACTAGGATGAGTCTCTGACCACTCTTTTTGGAAAACAGGAAATACTTGGAATAGAACTCCTACCCTCTGTGCTACAGGGAAGCCAGTTATACAGCTCCCAAGTGTAGGAGAGAGTCTATTTTTATCATAATAGTTCTCATAAAAGGATTGGTTGAAGATGGATGGGAAAGGAGGGGTTGACAGGCAGAAGACAAGTAAAGTGGTTGGCGTGCCTGGTAGAAATGATCTCCAAATCTCATTTGTCCATACCTGTCAGAAGTGGTGAAGGCAGTCACCTAAGGGAGGAAGATGCAGCTGGTAAGAACAGGAATGGTAACTCAGGACCCTTTATACTTGGAAATGGAAGGCTGTGAGGTCAAAAGATTGAGAAGCAAGTAGTTTTCTTCTTTGGAACCTCTTTTTTATGCTGAGGTTTGTATGATCTCTGTTAGCTCAAGAATTGAGCAGGATGGAATCTCTAAACCATCTGAGATTTGCTAAAGTTTCTCTTGTAGACAGGTGTACAAATCCCATGAGAACACAAAAATATCCTGGAATCTTTTAACAGGCACAGAGATTCCATCATGCTATCAGCAAACAGATGAGTACAATAAAAAATTGAGGAAAGTACACAGTGTGGTTCACCCACTTCTCTTCCTCCCTTCCCTTTCTATCAAGGAGTGAGAGGACCTGAACTCATGTTATGTGCTTTCCTTTCTCTCCTGGACAGTGGTGGCAGGGGAAAAAGCAAGCAATAAGCAGCATCTTGGTAGGAATGAGAAAAGGCTTCAGCCCATCTTTGCCCTCTCTAAATGGCACCCTGGGAGGCTCAGGGCTGAGGCAGTGGCAGACTAGTAGGGAAGTGTACCTTCAGACAGCAGTCCAGCCTGGGGATGTAATAGTATAGTTGATTAACCAATGAGCAAAAGCTTATAGATTAATGTTATGGACTACAAGTATCTTCCCCACCCGCTACCCCTCCTTGCCAGTAAATTTTTTAGCAGGCTGGTCCAACAGCCTAGCTCAGTCCTAGTTTGCACCAGGTCCAGGACCTACCTTCACTAGGGCTCGTAATAAATTGCGATGTAAGCCCAGGTTAGTAGAACTTAAGTTAGCAGTCCCTGGGTTTGTTAGGGGTATTAGGAGCCAGGAGGGCAGGCAGCCTGGCTCAGTTCCAGCTCGTGCCAGGTCCAGAAACTCATACCCACCCCAGACGGGGGCTGCTGCCATGCTGCACTCTTGCCTCTGTATCAGAGGCAGCAGCCATACCTGTCAGAAGTGGTGAAGGCAGTCACCTAAGGGAGGAAGATGCAGCTGGTAAGAACAGGAATGGTAACTCAGGACCCTTTATACTTGGAAATGGAAGGCTGTGAGGTCAAAAGATTGAGAAGCAAGTAGTTTTCTTCTTTGGAACCTCTTTTTTATGCTGAGGTTTGTATGATCTCTGTTAGCTCAAGAATTGAGCAGGATGGAATCTCTAAACCATCTGAGATTTGCTAAAGTTTCTCTTGTAGACAGGTGTACAAATCCCATGAGAACACAAAAATATCCTGGAATCTTTTAACAGGCACAGAGATTCCATCATGCTATCAGCAAACAGATGAGTACAATAAAAAATTGAGGAAAGTACACAGTGTGGTTCACCCACTTCTCTTCCTCCCTTCCCTTTCTATCAAGGAGTGAGAGGACCTGAACTCATGTTATGTGCTTTCCTTTCTCTCCTGGACAGTGGTGGCAGGGGAAAAAGCAAGCAATAAGCAGCATCTTGGTAGGAATGAGAAAAGGCTTCAGCCCATCTTTGCCCTCTCTAAATGGCACCCTGGGAGGCTCAGGGCTGAGGCAGTGGCAGACTAGTAGGGAAGTGTACCTTCAGACAGCAGTCCAGCCTGGGGATGTAATAGTATAGTTGATTAACCAATGAGCAAAAGCTTATAGATTAATGTTATGGACTACAAGTATCTTCCCCACCCGCTACCCCTCCTTGCCAGTAAATTTTTTAGCAGGCTGGTCCAACAGCCTAGCTCAGTCCTAGTTTGCACCAGGTCCAGGACCTACCTTCACTAGGGCTCGTAATAAATTGCGATGTAAGCCCAGGTTAGTAGAACTTAAGTTAGCAGTCCCTGGGTTTGTTAGGGGTATTAGGAGCCAGGAGGGCAGGCAGCCTGGCTCAGTTCCAGCTCGTGCCAGGTCCAGAAACTCATACCCACCCCAGACGGGGGCTGCTGCCATGCTGCACTCTTGCCTCTGTATCAGAGGCAGCAGCGCAGGCCGACAGGCAGCCAGTCTGCGAGGTGAGCTGTTTTTTAAACTGGCTTCCCTCACGGACCAACTCTTGCCTGGCACCCCATGCTGCTGCCTCTGATACAGCAGCAGCAGCACTGAGTGGCAGGAGGCTCCTTGGGGGTGAGGCTGGAGCACATTGACTATTGGCCCCATCCCCGGGGACTATAGACTAGTCAAATAACTGATAAGAATTCATGAGGTTAATCAACTATTAAATTAACCGATATTTAACTTCCCTAGTCCAACCCACTAACTTCAATGACATTTAACCTGACCACAAACCAGCTATATTTGTTATGTTTTAACAGAAATATAATATATGAATAGACGAGTACCTGGTTACAGGATTCTATGGCTTCTCAATAACAGCAACATATGACATAAAAATATAAGTTAGCTCAGTTATCCTAACCACTCCACAAACTGATTTTTTACCTTCTGCTCCAAGGTGAGTCGATACTTCTGTTCTACCCTTTTGCATTTGTTGTACCAACTGTTTTCATCCATGATGAAAGGAGGACCAATATTTTCTGGAGTACTGCTTTCACTGCCACTACTTCCCAGAGTCCTTAACTCTTCTTCGTCACTGCTGATACTATCAGAACTGAAGAACAAAATTTATAAATCAAATAAAAAAAATACAGTTAACTGATGTAAAACTTGCTTTGAAACAGAAACACTATTTATTACTCTTAAAACATGAAATAAAAAGCCATCTTTAAAAAGATGAGCAAGTGTAAACAGCAGGGAAGAATTTGCCTTCAAATCTAATTAAAATGTTAAAAGCACAAAAAGGAAGATCTATCTATTCTAAACTGGGGAGATGGCAAGCCATTACCTCAGAAAGGTAAGATTTTTTTTCCTTGTTACTAAGTTTTCTGTGTCATTAAGAATTTTTAGCTGGATTTCAGTGGTGAGAGTGATTTCTGGCCAACAGCCGCTGACATATTTTGCTGGGGGTAGGGGCAGTGCACAAAGCCGCCTTCTTCTCCAGCACAGAGAGCCATAGGGAGCAGCCAGTGGGGGCTGCTGTCAGGCAGGGAAGCCTGCTTGAGAGTGCTGCTGGCTGACAACTGCTTAGGTAAGCACCTGCCAGCCACTGCCTGTTTCTGGCACCCCACCTCCAACTCCCTCCCATCCCCTCCTAGATCCCGCTCCCAAGCTAGAGTCCTCTCCTGCACCCATACCCCTTCCTGAACCTTACATCCCAATCCCCTACCCCAGGTCACCACCCCTTCCTTCACCCAAACTCCCTCTCAGACCCCACACCTTCTTCTGCACCGCAGTCCCTTACCCCCAGCTCCCTTCTGTCCCAGATGCTGCACCCACTTCATAGATAAGTGCAGCCTTGACCACATACAAACATCTTGGGAGTGGCACCCCTATCAAAAATTATTTCCCATGCTAGATCTATAGGATTCTCTTCAAATATACTACTTAAAACAGTTCACTATAGATACACATATTGCATAAGACACTAATTACCTGTGGATCTTTTAGGCCTCATTAGCAAGGACCAACATAAAAGTGTTTGAAACACAATATAATATCTTGTATCTAATTTGTTTTAATTTTAGGACAATTCAGGGACAATTCTATAACAACCATGGGTGTCCATTAAGACTTTTAGTCTGCATCAGTAGAGTGGTGACCCGGAACAGACCCAGGATTTTCTGTAAGATTTGTGTACACATTTCTCAAGTATACACATTCTATTACTGATTTGGGTCAAAAATGTGTTTGTAGTGTTGTAGTTAAACTTAACTTTGCAATTGAGCAATTAAAAAAATCTAATTTGATTTTCATCTTTAGAGAACAATTGGAATTTTCATTTTTCAGCTATGTTTTACTAAAGTACATCAAATATTTCATGGAATGACATCTTAATTCTCACCTGCTTTACAAAACAGGCAAGTCTAAGAGCAAAATCCATAGGAGTATTTCCATGCTCTCTTGAGGTGCTTAATGAGACTACTGATACTCTCATTGATCTCAGACAGATAGCGGTATTAACTGAATGCTTTATGTCAAATAGGACCAGCATGCTAAACCATATATTTAAAAATTAGTCAAAGAAAACCCTGATATTATATAGTTTAATCACAGAATATTCCTGAAGGGCTAAATACTAATACCACATATAGATACTTGTTGACTTCTGTTGAATCTTGCAAATATATAGGGGCAGATGTGATTTCTCTCACCATTATGCAATAAATGCTATTAAAAACACAATGCTATGAAGAAAAGAGGCGCACACAGGACAGAAAATTTAATTGGAATAGTTTCCTACAGGAAAAAAAAGATGATTACAGCTGCTCTAAAGTCTGATGTTAGATCTAATTAAAAAGTCTAAGCTTCAGTAAAGAAGTAATTTAGCCCTTTAAAATTAGCATAAGTATTAAACATCTGAATATAAACTAAAATACCAGCATGACTGCTCATAACTCTCAAATCACTCACTATTACAGCAATATAAAGATAAGCATTCCATGCTTGTCACCAAGTGCAGAATGTCAGAGCATTCTGGAAGCCAAATAAACTTCAAAAAGATAAGTAAAGGCAAAATATCAAATTACCAAGTGAAGCTGAAAAATAAGATGAGGTTTGAAGATGAAATGTACCTTTGGGTGAACTTCAGATAGGGTGTGTAATCTATTACAGCTGGAAAGTTGCCATCCAATCCCTCTCCCTTCAGGCAGAAACTGACATAATACAGAGAATTAATAACCATGTTACATAAAGAAAATGAAAAGGCAGTGACACAGCTCAATCTTAATAGGATAGAATTTGATCTCCTCTACCAAAAAAATCAAAGTATAATAATAATAAAAGATTGTGGGGTACAGTTTTTAGTTACTGAAATACTATAACACATCCTGAGTCTAGATAGTTAAATTAGCTAAAAGTGCAGAGTCACCGCCTCTGTTTGAGAATAATGTAATTTTTATACAAATCCAAATTTTGTGTATTAAGACAGACAACTTCAAT